GGGGAATAAAAATGTGCTAATATATTTAACACCTTGTACTGGGTTATTATGCTGGTATTTCAGCCCTGGGAACTGGGTTCAATCTAAATCCTCTGCAAGCTATTCTCTTGCGTGTCAAGAGTTTGTCTCATTCTTTTTAGGTGTTTAATGCTCATAATTTGATGCAAATGGACAATTTCTCCCCTCTTGATTCACCTTAGCGCCTCCTGAAGGCAGTGTTCACTCCTGTGTCCAATGGTTGTAGAGCAAAAAAGTTAACATAAGTTTGTGGATTCACTAGAGGGTCTTTTTAAAATCCAATATTCTGTAATTTGTGTTTATATACATGTGTAGGTCTCAAAAAATGTCAAACAATTGTTTCATTGCACATGATCAAAACGCCACCAAAATTGCAAAGCAGGAAATTTTACATTTATATGTTTCTTGGTGCCCTTTTGCATTTATAAAAATAGATTTGTCTTTACTGTCACATATAAGCCAAATGTCAGAATTTTTCTTCTTGTTCTCAAAGAATAGGCTTATATTATCACATTGAAGCCTTGACTCATCTGAATCGTCGAGTCTTCATTCCCTCATGCACATCCAGAGCACAGTGAGAACACCTCAGTTGTCATAAGAACACAACACAACATCACTCATCATGTGGTACCACAATCAGCTTTAATAATAATAATCTTTACATTTTATATAGCGCCTCATCATGTCGTTGAGACATCTCAAAGCGCTTCACAGGATATACTGTAAAGTGATTCACTGTGCCGTTTGTGGGCGGAAAGTTACATAAACCACACCCCCAAAGGAAACAGCCTTTTCCCTTTTCCTCTGATTTAATGCTTTCTGCTTTAATTGTTATTAGGTGCTCGGGCCAACAGATCTAGTTGTTGACAACATGTATGTTTGCCTTTATATTTAATGTGTGAATCTATCTTAGATAGTAGTTTTCTTACTATGGATCCTCGGGCTCCATGTCGCAAATTGAAAACCCATTTGGCGCATAGTCTAGGCTGCAGTCCCCTGCTGAGAAAGTGCTGCATTGTTGGTGATACCACCCTTCAGATGAGAAGTCAGGTCCTGTCTAACTGTTTAGAAAAGAGAATGTCTCCCAGTGTCCTGGGCAACTATTTAGTCTCCAATTAAATAGACCAGGCTCTTCACATTCTCTGATTTTTTATTTAATTAAATAGTGTTGGTCAATGGGCCATATCTTCCAGCAGCACCTAAAGTGATGGACAAATCTTGTCATTGATCTACCAGGAAATCACCTTTAACACAAAGCCTTACACTGTCAGGCACTTTCCTGCGAGCACACAGAGTGCATCTGAGTGACCAGATAGATCAAGGTCTTAATCACAACAGAAGAGGGAACATTGTATCAGTGTCCTGGAATTGCTTATGGTTCAGAAAACATTTATTGTGATTTTGATTCTCCGAGTCAAATTTATTCCCATTTGGGCAAAAAATGCGATGACTGAGTTCTAGCTAAACAAGACCTTCCGTAAAAATGTCTGTACACCTTTGAAGTTCTCCCTATTCAGAATCAGCAGATATGTTACCCTAACCTCGCAGGCCAGGTTATGTTGCAGAAACAGTCTTAGAGAAGCTTCAGCTGTTTGTAGGTATTTCCCATAGTACTCATACTGTCCCGAACATTACAGTTTCTCTCTTTTAGTTTGTTTTTCATGTGCATTGTTTTTTTACTGTGTTTTCGTCCTTACTGAGTTTACTCACAACTACAAAGGAAACAATTGGATAAGAGGTGGCACTCATTCCTGTTTCTCTGAAAGAGTCTTTGGTCACAGATGACTCACCAACCTTCCCTTCCTTTGTTCCTCTATCTTGTTTACGTTTCTTAGAAGCAGAGAACATATAGTATCCACCACAGTGGAGCCTAACCTTGTTGGTTAGCCAACAAAATAAATGTTCTTTTACGGCATAAAATCAAGAAATATTCAATCAAGAAAAAATATTGAAAGCAAAAGATTGATTTAATACAGCTTCACCTAAACCAGTGCGAATATTTGGTGGGCAACGTTCTGATGGCTCCTCAGGCCACTTCCGGTCCATGGGCCATGGGTTGGCCACCACTGATCTACCATGCAGTCCTGTAGCTCAGTGGTTAGAGCATTTGCCTCACAAGCGAGAGACCTGGGTCCGATTCCCAGCAGGACGAAACCCTGGGCAAGTTTCCTTACTCCACACGCCTGATAATGATCCCTCAAGAAAGAAAACAATAATAAATTGGTCATTTCAATCCACGACTGTTTGTGGGACACTGCGGTAAACAATTGGCTCTGGCATTTTGCCCACAAATATACAGTCAATTTACAGTATATTCTGTGAAGTGCTTTGAGACGTATAAAAAAAACTTGAAAAGCACTATATCAAATGCAAGGATTATTATTATTATGTTGTGATAGTATTTCTAGGATGTGCATGAAACTGTAACTTCTGATTTGGAGGATGCATGTAGATTATTTTTTTAATGCCTTTTTTTATTGTATGAAAATCGGGAGTGACACCTACTTTTCTGTGGCTTTTAACTACAGTTTTTACATTCCATTGTTAGCACCTAAAAGCATATATTGTATTTTAAAAGGTGCAAACTAAATGGTAAGTATACAAATGTTTTAATGGCGTCCTGTACAATTTAAACTTGTTGTATAAGGTGTTCCAGAGAGTGTACATTGTTGCTGACATCATGGTTTCATTTAAATAATAATTTGGTGTACATTTTAACTTGAGTGTAAATGTCAGCCAGAGCTACAATCTAGTGTGTTCAACATGTTATGCCAGCCTGACAGATCTGTTTGTTTTGCTGCAATGGGAAAATATTGTGACCAAAGAGATCCCTGAATACCTTGGTTATGATTAAACCGTTACAAACCAGAAGGTTGCAGGATTAGTTCCTGTCTTTGCTGAATTATCTGATCTTCGGTGAAAGCTCAATTGCAATTGGCCTCGACGATGCTTGACCCAAACAAAAACAGCTTCCAAATTTAAGACTAACCCTAGGAATTTTCCAAAATTCCACACAAAGTTAGATTTCAAAGCATCAGTCTTAAGGCTAAGAACATGAGGTATTTTGAGATTTCTGATGAGTTTGGTGTTGGCTGTGATGGCTCCCTGAGTCAAAAACAGGCTGCTGAAACCTCACTTGAGCTCATACAGAAACAATAATGTCTGGCCTAAAGGCTGCTAACACCCATGGTCCAGAACAAATCTCCACCTTCATGAAAGAAGACTCTCAATTCGGCTATTTATATTATTTTTGGTCATCAACTGTGGACATTTTACTTTCCTTCTGCTGAGTAATTTCTCAACTTTGATTCTTTGGTGAGAATTAAGTTGTTTTCTGATTTCAACAACACCACAGCTGTTCTTATTGCATGGCACAATACCTTATGCCACAACGTTTAATTACAGGAGTGATACAAATGTAATTTTGTTGTTGTTGTCTGTCATAACCAGTGACAAAGGAAACTGAAGACCATGAAGGAAAGTGATGTTTAGTTTGGTACACATTGTAATAAATGGCACAGTGTGCTACAGTGCAGGATGTTGGGCTTAGAGATATCATTAATGAACCACTTGAGCTTCACACTGTTTATGGCATCATCTCAACCCCTTAAGGTGAGACTGCTTCTTCACACACACCAGTGCTGGATAACACTGAATCAATCACAGTTTGGATTTCAGCAACTGATTCTCAAATAAAGCCTATTAGATGCTCCCAGCACATGGTATTAAGGTTGGCCCAATGGTCTGACAACAACAACAACAACAAAATTACATTTGTATAGTGCCTTTCACGTTGGGAGGACATCCCAAGGTGCTAACAGACAGAATTACGGACCAGAACTGAGGATCGGGGTGGGGTAGGGAGGAAGGCAGGGGGGAAGCAGGGAGATCGAAAGCACAGTCGAGGAGGAGGGTCTTGAGGTGGGTCTTGAAAGTGGCAAGAAAGGGGGCGAGACAGAGGGGCTGTGGGATGGAGTTCATGAGGGTGGGCACAGAGAGGCGGAAGGCCCATTCGCCGATAGTGGGGCAAGCAACAACAACACCTTGGATTTATATAGCGCCCTCCACGCCAGACGGCGTCTCAGAGCGCTTCACAGTAACGGATCCAGGGGCCGAGCCAGGGGGAGGGGGAGGAAGGTGACCAAAGGCGCAGTCGAAAAGAAAGGTCTTCAGCTGAGACCTGAAAATAGGAAGAGAGGGAGCGAGGCGAAGGGAGTGTGGAAGGGAGTTCCAGAGCCTTGGGGAGTAGTGGCTGAAGGCACGGCCGCCGATCATGGAGCGGAGGATTTGGAGGACAAGGAGGAGGCCAGACCTGGTGGAGCGATGGCAACGGGCACTATTGTGAGGAGAGAGGAGGTCAGAGAGGTAGGGGGTGCAGAGGAGTGGAGGGATTTGAAGACAAGGGTGAGGATCTTGAAGTTGATCCTCTCTGGGATAGGCAGCCAGTGCAGTCTGGCAAGGACTGGGGTGATCGTGGAGCGGAGTTTGGTGCGGATAAGAATGCGGGCGGCAGAGTTTTGGATGACCTGGATTTTATGGATGGTGGTGGAGGGGAGACCGGTGAGGAGGGCATTTGAATAGTCCAGCCGAGAGGTGACAAAGGCATGGACCAGGGTTTCAGCGGCTTTTGGAGTGAGGTATTGGCGGAGACGGGCGATCTGTCGGAGGTGGAAGAAAGGGGTGCTGGTGAGAGACCGGATGTGGGGGAGGAAAGGTAATTGGGGGTCATGAAGGGCACAAAGCAAGGCGGGGGATATGAAGCAGGCCGGAGCCCGCTGAGTGGAGGAAGCGAACAGGGTGGTAGAGGGTTAGGAGGTCAGAGAGGTAGGGGGAAGCAAGACCGTGGAGGGCTTTGAAGGTGAGGTCCAGAATCTTGATCTGTATCTTCTGTGTGATGGGAAGCCAGTGGAGTTGGAGCAGATTAGTATTAAGCAGATTTTTTGTGAAATAACCTCATGTTAAATTTGTTTGCTTCCTATTAGGGGTATATGATGGAAAACCGCATCCCGGACCTGAAATGTGACTCTGATGTATTTGTGACTTTCGAGGGTGACAATGTTGTGATGTTGCAGGTAAATTGGCTACTTTGTGTATTTATGGATGGTTTTACTGTGACATGATTAGTAAAACATGATTTGTGGAGTCCTGTATCTCAGTGATTAGAGCATTCGCTTTGCAAGTGAGAGACCTGAGTTCAATTCCAGGCAGAGGGCGAAACCTTGGACAAGTTTCCTTACTCCACACGCCTAATAATAATCCCTCCAAAAAAACAAAACAATAATAAATTGGTCATTTTCAATCCATGACTGTTTGTGGGACATTGCTGTGCGCAATTGGCTGCTGCGTTCGCCCACAAATATACAGTCAATTCACTTTACAGTGTGTTCTGTGAAGCGCTTTGAGACGTCCTCCCAACGTGAAAAACGCTACATCAAATGCAAGGATTATTATTATTATTATTATTAAAAAGTATAAGATTGGGATTTGTGTGTGACAGCCTGGCATCTAAAGTCAGGAGATTGTGAGTTCAAGCCCCATGTCGATGTGGAACCCATGTAGTCCAGACGCTCCAGTACAGTGCTAGAGGTGTGCTGCATTGTTGGAGGTGCCATCCTTTGGATAAGAAGTTAAATTCAGGTCCCATTTGCTTGTTCAGGTGGATGTTAAAGATCACGTGGCACTATTGTGCACTATTTGAAAAGAGAAACATTTCTCCTGGTGCCATGGCTAACAATTCCTCAAATAGAGACCAATCACAATTTATAATCAACGTATTCCTCACATGGAGTCCTTTAACATAGTGATTAGAGCATTAGCCTCGCAAGTGAGGACCTGGGTTTGACTACATGTTAGGCAAGTTTCCTTACTCCACGTGCTTCTGTTTACCTAGCAGTAAGTAGGAACCTGATTGTTAGTTTATTTGGCGGATCGCTTTCCGGGAGTAATAATCCCTTCAAAATAAATAAATAATAATTTGGTCACTTAATCCACGACTGTTTATGGGACACTGCTGTGTGCAATTGGCTGCTGCATTTCAGCCACAAATTATACAGTCACTTTACAGTATTCACAATTCACTTTACAGTATATTCTGTGAAACACTTTAAGATGTCTCAAAGTCGTCTTAAGGAGCTATATGGAATACAAGGATTATTATTATTATTCACTTCAACAACAACAACTTGGATTTATATAGCGCCCGATGGAGTCTCAGAGCGCTTCACAGTAATGAATAGCGGGGCCGAGGGAGGGGGAGGAAGGTGACCAAAGGCGCGGTCGAAAAGAAAAGAAAAGGGACCTGAAAGTAGGAAGAGAGGGAACGAGATGAAGGGAGTGAGGAAGGGAATTCCAGAGCCTCAGGGCATAGTGGCTGAAGGCACAGCCGCCAAGAGTGGAGCGGAAGACTCAGGGGACGAGGAGGAGGCCAGACCCGGAGGATTGAAGGCAACAGGTACTGTTTTGAGGAGAGAGGAGGTCAGAGAGGTAGGGGGTGCAGAGGAGTGGAGGGATCTGAAGCCATTTGTGGGACGTTGCTGTGCACAAATTGCAGCACACTTCAGTACTGCATTGGAGTGTCATCATTTTATACTTATATGAATCCTAAGTTCCAATGTGGGCTCTTCAATCTTGAGAGAAGATGGTTGAGAGGAGACTTTATAATGGTGTAAAACATTTTAAATGCGATTAAAAAGTAAGACTAGAACAATACTTCAGGATGTGCTCAGACAGTAGAACAAGAGGACACAGGTTTAGAATTGCAAAGGACAATTTCCACACAGATATCAGGAAGTGTTTCTTTACCCAGATATTAAGTAACAATTGGACCAGGAGGAGTGGTTCATATCATAGAATTATAGAATTATCAGCACAGAAGGAGGCCATCCGGCCCATCGTGTCTGTGCCAGCTCTTTGAAAAGAGTTATCCAAACCAATCCCTCTCCCCCACTCTTTCCCCATAGCCCTGCAAACTTGCCCTCCCCAACTTGTCCTGGTTGAGGCCAAAACACTGGACATATTTTTAAAAATAAACAGCTTGATGCTCTGATGGCAGGATGGTGTATAGTATTCTGGAAGGATGAGATTAGATGGACTGCGGGGCTTTCTTCATCCAAATAATCTTGTGATTTTCAGATGCCAGCGCTCTGGATGCAGTGTAGCTTTGTTGCAACTAGGATATTTATAAAATCGGACTGATTCAATATAGGAGGGAGTTCACCCATCTGGGACCACAAAAACAAAACAACAACAAAATTACATTTGTAAAGTGCCTTTCATGTCAGGAGGACGTCCCAAGGCGCTGGATAGACAGAGTTTCGGACCGGAGCTGGGAGTTGGGATGGTGGAGGGGGGGAAGCAGGGAGATCGAAAGCACAGTCGAAGAGGAGGGTCTTGAGATGAGTCTTGAAGGAGGCAAGGGAGGGGGTGAGGCGGAGGGACTCCAGGACGGAGTTCCAGAGGATGGGGGCAGAGTGGCAGAAGGCTTGCCTGCCAATGGTGGGGTGGGTGAGGCAGGGAAAGTGAAGCAGGATGGAGCCCGCTGAGCGGAGGGAGCGAACAGGGTGGTAGGGGATTAGGAGGTCGCAGAGATAGGGTGGATCAAGACCATGGAGGGCTTTGAAGATGAGGACCAGGATCTTGAACTGTATCCTGTGTGTGATGGAAAACCAGTGGAGTCGGGTGAGGATGGGGGTGATAGAGTCACGGAGCCTAATGCGGGAGAGGACATGGATTGCAGAGTTCTGGATGATCTGCAGCCTATGGAGGGAGGAATTGGGGAGGTCGACAAGCAATGAGTTTGCATAGTCGAGCCTCGATGTAATGAATATGTGTATGAGGGTTTCGGCGGCCTGCAGTGTGAGACAGTGGCGGAGCCGGGCGATGTTGTGGAGGTGGGAATGGCAGAATGGGTCATTTACACAGATGTGGGATTGAAAGGATAGTTGCGGGTCAAACAAGACCCCAAGGTTCCGGACTGGCTTAGTAAGGTGGTGGGTGCAACCACGGATGGTGACACAACACAAGGTCTATTTACCCAACAAAAGATTAGGGGAGTTCTCAGAATACTTACCTAATTTAACGTTCATCCCTAATCTGACTATGTAGTTGCTCTGATTAGTCCAGGAGCCGTTGTGTTGTTAGAACAATGTATCATTCAAAATCATTTCTTCTTCTTCTTCCTGAATATCCTGCCTTAAAACCAGCTTCACATCTACCAAAGTGCGCTTGCATTCCATTTGTGACTTTCCAGGGTGACAATGTTATCATGCTGCAGCTAAGATTGCCATTTTGTGGCATTTTATGGCTGACTTTTCTATGGCTTGATTAGTAAAAGCATAGAATTAGGATTAGTGATCAGGGCAGAAACATTAACATAAACACCATCTTTAATAACTTGTACAATATTTAAGCTTTCTAAAGTACAGTATTTCATCTTCTCACTTTCATTGTCAGTGGCTTAATTCCGGTAGTGTGATTTACAGTGACATCTGCGCTCATTCACATTGTGTTATGTTTTTCAAAAGTAGTAAACAACCTAAGTAGTAGTAATCTTCCTATCCCTCTGGCCCTCCACCCGTGGAGATCCTGAAGCAGCCGTCCAGCTGCTCCATGATCGCCTCTCCTCCACCTTCAACTCCCTCGTGCCCCTGAAATCCAGGACCATCTGCAAACCCACCCGATCCCCCTGGTACAACAATCTCTGCCCCAAAAAACCCAAACCCGTCTGCTCGAGCAGACAGTTGGCCAGACAGTTTACCGCCAACTGTGGCTCGAGCATCTCCACAGCTACCGCCGTTTTTTGACTCATGCAAAAACGGGCTTCTACTCCAACATCATCTTGGAGGCTAAACACAACCCAAAAATCCTTTTTTCCACCACCCACTACCTCCTCAGTGCCTCCTCAATCTTCGTATCAAATGCCAAGTGCGAGGAGGTCATGGACTTCTTTTCTTCTAAAATACTTAACATCCGCCAGACAGCCTCATCCACCTGCCACTTGTCACCCACCACCATGCCCTCTCTGTCCCTCTCATCTTCCTAATCATCCGCTCCTACCACCACCCCCATTCTACATTCCTTCCTCTCCATCTCTCCCTCCTCCCTCTCACCCACCATCACATCCATGAAACCCACCACCTGCTGCCTCGACCCCTTCCCCACTAACTTACTGGTCATCCAGCTCCTCCTCTGCCCACTACTGGCTGACATCATCAACCAATCCCTCTCCTCCAGATTAGTCCCTGCCTCCCTCAAAATTGCTGTCATCACCCCCCTACTGAAGAAACCCTCCCAAGATCCCTCAAACCCCAGCCACTACCGCCCTATTTCTAACCTGCCCTTTCTCTCAAAAGTTCTAGAATGCGTCGTTGCCAACCAATTTTGCGCACACCTCTCCTCCCACTCCCTCTTCGAACCCCTCCAATCCAGCTTTCGCCCTGCCCACAATACAGAGACTGCGCTTGTGAAAGTCACAAACGACATCCTCTCTATCTGTGACCAGGGCTCCCTCTTCCTCCTTGTCCTCCTGGACCTCTCCGCTGCGTTCGACATAGTCGATCACGCCATCCTCCTCCACCGCCTTTCCTCTGTCATCCACCTCAGTGGGACCGCACTCTCCTGGTTCGAGTCCTACCTCACAAACTGCCAGCAGTACATCTGCACAAACGGCTTCTCCTCCTGCTCTCACCCAGTCACCTGTAGCATACCCCAAGGATCCATCCTTGGCCCCCTCCTCTTTCTGATCCTCATGCTCCCTCTTGGGGATGTCATCCGTAGACATGGGGTACATTTCCACATGTATGCAGATGACACCCAACTCTATTTTTCCACTTCTCTTTGCGACCCCCAGTCCCCTGATGTTCTGTCAGCCTGCTTTCTTCCACCTCCGACATGTCGCCCGTCTCCACCAATACCTCTTCCCAAAAGCCGCTGAAACCCTGATCCGTGCCTTCTGTCAGATCTCAGGGGCTGGATGAGCGCAAACTTCCTTCGCCGGTCTCCCATCCACTACCATCCATAAAATCCAAATCATTCAAAACTCTGCCGCCCGCAATCTCACCTGCACCAAACTCCG